GTGTGGCGCGCCAGGCTCACCCTAGAGGCCAGGGAGAGGCAGTGTGGCGCACCAGGCTCACCCTAGCGGCCAGGGAGAGGAAGTGTGGCGCGCCAGGCTCACCCTAGAGGCCAGGGAGAGGCAGTGTGGCGCACCAAGCTCACCCTAGCGGCCAGGGAGAGGCAGTGTGGCGCGCCAGGCTCACCCTAGAGGCCAGGGAGAGGCAGTGTGGCGCACCAGGCTCACCCTAGCGGCCAGGGAGAGGCAGTGTGGCGCGCTAGGCTCACCCTAGCGGCCAGGGAGAGGCAGTGTGGCGCGCCAGGCTCACCCTAGCGGCCAAGGAGAGGTAGTGTGGCGCGCCAGGCTCACCCTAGCGGCTAGGGAGAGGCAGTGTGGCGCCAGGCTCACCCTAGCGGCTAGGGAGAGGCAGTGTGGCACCAGACTCACCCTAGCGGCCAGGGAGAGGCAGTGTGGCGCGCCAGGCTCACCCTAGCGGCCAGGGAGAGGCAGTGTGGCGCCCCAGGCTCACCCTAGCGGCCAGGGAGAGGCAGTGTGGCGCGCCAGGCTCACCCTAGCGGCCAGGGAGAGGCAGTGTGGTGCGCCAGGCTCACCCTAGCGGCCAGGGAGAGGCAGTGTGGCGCGCCAGGCTCACCCTAGCGGCCAGGGAGAGGCAGTGTGGCGCCAGGCTCACCCTAGCGGCCAGGGAGAGGCAGTAGGCGCGCGGCTTACCCTAGCGGCCAGGGAGAGGCAGTGTGGTGCGCCAGGCTCACCCTAGCGGCCAGGGAGAGGCAGTGTGGCGCGCCAGGCTCACCCTAGCGGCCAGGGAGAGGCAGTGTGGCGCGCCAGGCTCACCCTAGCGGCCAGGGAGAGGCAGTGTGGCGCGCCAGGCTCACCCTAGCGGCCAGGGAGAGGCAGTGTGGCGCCAGACTCACCCTAGCGGCCAGGGAGAGGCAGTGTGGCGCGCCAGGCTCACCCTAGCGGCCAGGGAGAGGCAGTGTGGCGCCAGGCTCACCCTAGCGGCCAGGGAGAGGCAGTAGGCGCGCGGCTCACCCTAGCGGCCAGGGAGAGGCAGTGTGGCGCGCCAGGCTCACCCTAGCGGCCAGGGAGAGGCAGTGTGGCGCGCCAGGCTCACCCTAGCGGCCAGGGAGAGGCAGTGTGGCGCGCCAGGCTCACCCTAGCGGCCAGGGAGAGGCAGTGTGGCGCGCCAGGCTCACCCTAGCGGCCAGGGAGAGGCAGTGTTGCGCGCCAGGCTCACCTTAGCTGTCAGGGAGAGGCAGTGTGGCGCCCCAGGCTCACCCTAGCGGACAGGGAGAGGCAGTGTGGCGCGCCAGGCTCACCCTAGCGGTCAGGGAGAGGCAGTGTGGCGCGCCAGGCTCACCCGAGCGGCCAGGGAGAGGCAGTGTGGCGCGCCAGGCTCACCCTAGCGGCCAGGGAGAGGCAGTGTGGCGCGCCAGGCTCACCCTAGCGGCCAAGGAGAGGCAGTGTGGCGCGCCAGGCTCACCCTAGCGGCCAGGGAGAGGCAGTGTGGCGCGCCAGGCTCACCCTAGCGGCCAGGGAGAGGCAGTGTGGCGCGCCAGGCTCACCCTAGTGGCCAGGGAGAGGCAGTGTGGCGCGCCAGGCTCACCCTAGCGGCCAGGGAGAGGCAGTGTGACGCGCCAGGCTCACCCTAGTGGCCAGGGAGAGGTAGTGTGGCGCGCCAGGCTCACCCTAGCGGCCAGGGAGAGGCAGTGTGGCGCGCCAGGCTCACCCTAGCGGCCAGGGAGAGGCAGTGTGGCGCGCCAGGCTCACCCTAGTGGCCAGGGAGAGGCAGTGTGGCGCGCCAGGCTCACCCTAGCGGCCAGGGAGAGGCAGTGTGGCGCGCCAGGCTCACCCTAGCGGCCAGGGAGAGGCAGTGTGGCGCCAGGCTCACCCTAGCGGCCAGGGAGAGGCAGTGAGGCACGCCAGGCTCACCCTAGAGGCCAGGGAGAGGCAGTGTGGCACCAGGCTCACCCTAGCGGCCAGGGAGAGGCAGTGTGGCGCGCCAGGCTCACCCTAGCGGCCAGGGAGAGGCCGTGTGGCGCGCCAGGCTCACCCTAGCGGCCAGGGAGAGGCAGTGTGGCGCGCCAGGCTCACCCTAGCGGCCAGGGAGAGGCAGTGTGGCGCGCCAGGCTCACCCTAGCGGCCAGGGAGAGGCAGTGTGGCGCGCCAGGCTCACCCTAGCGGCCAGGGAGAGGCAGTGTGGCGCGCCAGGCTCACCCTAGCGGCCAGGGAGAGGCAGTGTGGCGGGCCAGGCTCACCCTAGCGGCCAGGGAGAGGCAGTGTGGCGCGCCAGGCTCACCCTAGCGGCCAGGGAGAGGCAGTGTGGCGCGCCAGGCTCACCCTAGCGGCCAGGGAGAGGCAGTGTGGCGCGCCAGGCTCACCCTAGCGGCCAGGGAGAGGCAGTGTGGCGCGCCAGGCTCACCCTAGCGGCCAGGGAGAGCCCTTCACACTTGCTAGTGTGTCAAGACTGGAACAGGCCATGGCCAGCCCACGCTAAGCTGCACACACTTCACTCAAAATCCTTTCACCAAAGAGTGGACAGACAGACAGACAGACAGACAGACACGTCTGACAAGCGCCGTTACAGGGAGCCGACAAGCGGGGCCTCACCGTTGCAGGCAACACCTCACCACTGTTGCTCACCCTAGCGAGCTTGTTATCTCTCGTGATTAATGTATTATCTGCTTACACACACTTCTCTCTTATCACAAGTATAACAACTCTACCACCCCCTCAAGGGTGTGGAGTGACCACAAGGTGTGGTAACTCTACCACCCCCTCAAGGGTGTGGAGTGACCACAAGGTGTGGTAACTCTACCACCCCCTCAAGGGTGTGGAGTGACCACAAGGTGTGGTAACTCTACCACCCCCTCAAGGGTGTGGAGTGACCACAAGGTGTGGTAACTCTACCACCCCCTCAAGGGTGTGGAGTGACCACAAGGTGTGGTAACTCTACCACCCCCTCAAGGGTGTGGAGTGACCACAAGGTGTGGTAACTCTACCACCCCCTCAAGGGTGTGGAGTAACCACAAGGTGTGGTAACTCTACCACCCCCTCAAGGGTGTGGAGTGACCACAAGGTGTGGTAACTCTACCACCCCCTCAAGGGTGTGGAGTGACCACAAGGTGTGGTAACTCTACCACCCCCTCAAGGGTGTGGAGTGACCACAAGGTGTGGCCACACCTCACCACCATTCAGAGGTAGCCACTTGTGGATAGCGCGCAGGACTCGTAATTCTGTGGCGCGGGTTCGATTCCCGCACCAGGCAGAAACAAATGGACAAAGTTTCTTTCACCCTGAATGCCCCTGTTACCTAGCAGTAAATAGGTACCTGGGAGTTAGTCAGCTGTCACGGGCTGCTTCCTGCGGTGTGTGTGATGTGGGAAAAAAGTAGTTTTTTTTAGTAGTAGTAACAGTATACACACTAGTACCCTCAGGGCCGGTAAACTCACATAAGCAGTGAACCTCTCTACTAGAATACTCTCAGCTTCTGAACACCACTACCAAATAATTTTTTATATAAGTAAAAGCATTTATTTTTATTTTTTCATCTGTCAGCGGACACATGGTGTCCATATTTCAGTTGTCCATTTGGCGTGGAGCCCGAGCAGTGTGGGCACGGCGTACACACTTCAATATCAGTATACTCTACACCAGGGGCTAGATTCACGAAAGCACTTACGCAAGCACTTACGAACGTGTACATCTTTCCTCAATCTTTGACGACTTTGGTTACATTTATTAAACAGTTTACAAGCATGAAAACTTCCCAATCAACTGTTGTTATTGTTATAAACAGCCTCCTGGTGCTTCGGGGCTCATTAACTGTTTAATAATTGTAAACAAAGCCGCCAAAGATTGAGAAAAGATGGACAGATTCGTAAGTGTTTGCGTAAGTGCTTTCGTGAATCTGGCCCCTGGACAGTTTGAGAAGTGCTTCCACACGCGTACATTGGATCGCAAGCAGCCCGTCCTCCAAACACCAGCCCGTCCTCCAAACACCAGCCCGTCCTCCAAACAAAGACCCAAAAGTGATTCCACCCACCCGCCAAACCCCCAGGTGTTTATGAATGACAAACGGTTTACACACGACTCACAACTGCTGACGTTCGAACACTTCCGGAACAAGTGCTTCACTGACGACTTGTGTTCGAACCACAACGCTGTAAATGCTTCACCCACGTACTACAAATAATCGCCAACAGAACCTAAACACCTAACCTAACCTATGCCTATGCACAATATGCTATTATACTATAATATTAATTTATATTTAAGAACATTCCAATTTTGAAAGAACATTATGTTAAAATTAATGAATTCGTCTTTGGGGTCGACCGCTGGGTGGAATGGACTTGGTCTGAGGACGGGTTGTGCATGGTGTCCAAATCTCAAGAAGCACATAAATATACTGGAAAAGGTGTAGCGGCATGCTGCAAAATGGTTTCCGGAACTGAAGAACAAGAGTTACGAGGAGAGACTAGAGGCGTTAAACACGCCGTAACTAGAAGATAGAAGAAAAAGAGGAGATATGATCACCATTTACAAAATACTAACAGGAATGGACTATATTAACAAAGATGAATTCCTGAAACCAGGAACTTCACCAACAAGAGGACAAGGATTCAAGCTAAGGAAAGAAAGATGCCGATAAAATATTAGAAAGTTTTCTTTCGCAAAGTGGTAAACGGTTGGGCAGAGTTTCTTTCACCCTATGCCCCTGTTACCTAGCAGTAAAATAGGTACCTGGGTGTTAGTCAGCTGTCACGGGCTGCTTCCTGGGGGTGGAGGCCTGGTCGAGGACCGGGCCGCGGGGACAATAAAGCCCCGAAATCATCTCAAGATAACCTCCCCGCGTAAAACAGGACACAACCGCTGTGGACAGGATTCGAACCTGTGCGGGCAGAGCCCAATGGATTTCGAGTCCATCTCCTTAACCACTCGGACACCGCAGCTCATGACACACGCTGTGCACAGGAGCTGGACCTGTAACCTCGGTGTTGCTAGACCAGCTGCTGAGGGAACGTTGCCTGAGCAGCCTGCAGGAACGGTGCTGAGGAAATGTTGCCTGAGCAGCCTGCAGGAACGGTGCTGAGGAAATGTTGCCTGAGCAGCCTGCAGGAACGGTGCTGAGGGAACGTTGCCTGAGCAGCCTGCAGGAACGGTGCTGACGAAATGTTGCCTGAGCAGCCTGCAGGAACGGTGCTGAGGGAACGTTGCCTGAGCAGCCTGCAGGAACGGTGCTGAGGGAACGTTGCCTGAGCAGCCTGCAGGAACGGTGCTGACGAAATGTTGCCTGAGCAGCCTGCAGGAACGGTGCTGAGGGAACGTTGCCTGAGCAGCCTGCAGGAACGGTGCTGAGGGAACGTTGCCTGAGCAGCCTGCAGGAACGGTGCTGAGGGAACGTTGCCTGAGCAGCCTGCAGGAACGGTGCTGAGGGAATGTTGCCTGAGCAGCCTGCAGGAACGGTGCTGAGGGAATGTTGCCTGAGCAGCCTGCAGGAACGGTGCTGAGGAAGTGTTGCATGAGCAGCCTGCAGGAACGGTGCTGAGGGAACGTTGCATGAGCAGCCTGCAGGAACGGTGCTGAGGGAACGTTGCCTGAGCAGCCTGCAGGAACGGTGCTGAGGGAACGTTGCCTGAGCAGCCTGCAGGAACGGTGCTGAGGGAACGTTGCCTGAGCAGCCTGCAGGAACGGTGCTGAGGAAGTGTTGCCTGAGCAGCCTGCAGGAACGGTGCTGAGGAAGTGTTGCCTGAGCAGCCTGCAGGAACGGTGCTGAGGGAATGTTGCCTGAGCAGCCTGCAGGAACGGTGCTGAGGGAATGTTGCCTGAGCAGCCTGCAGGAACGGTGCTGAGGAAATGTTGCCTGAGCAGCCTGCAGGAACGGTGCTGAGGAAATGTTGCCTGAGCAGCCTGCAGGAACGGTGCTGAGGGAACGTTGCCTGAGCAGCCTGCAGGAACGGTGCTGAGGAAATGTTGCCTGAGCAGCCTGCAGGAACGGTGCTGAGGAAATGTTGCCTGAGCAGCCTGCAGGAACGGTGCTGAGGGAACGTTGCCTGAGCAGCCTGCAGGAACGGTGCTGAGGGAATGTTGCCTGAGCAGCCTGCAGGAACGGTGCTGAGGAAATGTTGCCTGAGCAGCCTGCAGGAACGGTGCTGAGGGAATGTTGCCTGAGCAGCCTGCAGGAACGGTGCTGAGGGAACGTTGCCTGAGCAGCCTGCAGGAACGGTGCTGAGGAAATGTTGCCTGAGCAGCCTGCAGGAACGGTGCTGAGGAAATGTTGCCTGAGCAGCCTGCAGGAACGGTGCTGAGGGAACGTTGCCTGAGCAGCCTGCAGGAACGGTGCTGAGGGAATGTTGCCTGAGCAGCCTGCAGGAACGGTGCTGAGGAAGTGTTGCCTGAGCAGCCTGCAGGAACGGTGCTGAGGGAATGTTGCCTGAGCAGCCTGCAGGAACGGTGCTGAGGGAACGTTGCCTGAGCAGCCTGCAGGAACGGTGCTGAGGAAGTGTTGCCTGAGCAGCCTGCAGGAACGGTGCTGAGGAAATGTTGCCTGAGCAGCCTGCAGGAACGGTGCTGAGGAAATGTTGCCTGAGCAGCCTGCAGGAACGGTGCTGAGGAAGTGTTGCCTGAGCAGCCTGCAGGAACGGTGCTGAGGAAGTGTTGCATGAGCAGCCTGCAGGAACGGTGCTGAGGAAGTGTTGCATGAGCAGCCTGCAGGAACAGTGCTGAGGGAATGTTGCCTGAGCAGCCTGCAGGAACGGTGCTGAGGGAACGTTGCCTGAGCAGCCTGCAGGAACGGTGCTGAGGAAGTGTTGCATGAGCAGCCTGCAGGAACGGTGCTGAGGGAACGTTGCATGAGCAGCCTGCAGGAACGGTGCTGAGCCCTGTGCACGGACAATGCATGTCAAGGAAAGTTGTAATAATGGCTGACAAGACAGAAATTTACCTGAATTTACCTGAGGGGCCATTAATACTAGTAGCCTCAGCGAAGACAGGAAGCCAGCGGCTTGTCAAAGGTCCCCCCCTTTGTAAATAGAGGCCCCGTACCTTGGCAATAATGCGTATTGATGTTGAAAACGTTGGGGCAGCGTGGAGAACGTTGGGACACCGTGGGGAACGTTGGGGCAGCGTGGGGAACGTTGGGGCAGCGTGGGGAACGTTGGGGCACCGTGGGGAACGTTGGGGGCAGCGTGGGGAACGTTGGGGCAGCGTGGAGAACGTTGGGGCAGCGTGGAGAACGTTGGGGCAGCGTGGTGAACGTAGGGGCACCGTGGGGAACGTTGGGGGCAGCGTGGAGAACGTTGGGGCACCGTGGGGAACGTTGGGGCACCGTGGGGAACGTTGGGGGCAGCGTGGGGAACGTTGGGGCAGCGTGGAGAACGTTGGGGCAGCGTGGGGAACGTTGGGGCAGCGTGGAGAACGTTGGGGCAGCGTGGGGAACGTTGTGGCAGCGTGGAGAACGTTGGGGCAGCGTGGGGAACGTTGAGGCAGCGTGGGGAACGTTGGGGGCAGCGTGGGGAACGTTGTGGCAGCGTGGAGAACGTTGGGGCAGCGTGGGGAACGTTGAGGCAGCGTGGGGAACGTTGGGGGCAGCGTGGGGAACGTTGGGGCAGCGTGGGGAACGTTGAGGCAGCGTGGGGAACGTTGAGGCAGCGTGGGGAACGTTGAGGCAGCGTGGGGAACGTTGAGGCAGCGTGGGGAACGTTGGGGCAGCGTGGGGAACGTTGAGGCAGCGTGGGGAACGTTGAGGCAGCGTGGGGAACGTTGAGGCAGCGTGGGGAACGTTGGGGCAGCGTGGGGAACGTTGAGGCAGCGTGGGGAACGTTGAGGCAGCGTGGGGAACGTTGAGGCAGCGTGGGGAACGTTGAGGCAGCGTGGGGAACGTTGGGGCAGCGTGGGGAACGTTGAGGCAGCGTGGGGAACGTTGAGGCAGCGTGGGGAACGTTGAGGCAGCGTGGGGAACGTTGGGGCAGCGTGGGGAACGTTGAGGCAGCGTGGGGAACGTTGAGGCAGCGTGGGGAACGTTGAGGCAGCGTGGGGAACGTTGGGGCAGCGTGGGGAACGTTGAGGCAGCGTGGGGAACGTTGAGGCAGCGTGGGGAACGTTGAGGCAGCGTGGGGAACGTTGAGGCAGCGTGGGGAACGTTGAGGCAGCGTGGGGAACGTTGAGGCAGCGTGGGGAACGTTGGGGCAGCGTGGGGAACGTTGAGGCAGCGTGGAGAACGTTGAGGCAGCGTGGGGGAACGTTGTGGCAGCGTGGAGAACGTTGGGGCAGCGTGGGGAACGTTGTGGCAGCGTGGGGAACGTTGGGGCAGCGTGGAGAACGTTGGGGCACCGTGGGGAACGTTGGGGCACCGTGGGGAACGTTGGGGCACCGTGGGGAACGTTGGGGCAGCGTGGAGAACATTGGGGGCAGCGCGGAGAACGTTGAGGCAGCGTGGAGAACGTTGGGGCAGCGTGGGGAACGTTGGGGCAGCGTGGAGAACGTTGGGGCAGCGTGGGGAACGTTGGGGCACCGTGGAGAACGTTGGGGCAGCGTGGAGAACGTTGGGGCAGCGTGGGGAACGTTGAGGCAGCGTGGGGAACGTTGTGGCAGCGTGGAGAACGTTGTGGCAGCGTGGGGAACGTTGTGGCACCGTGGGGAACGTTGGGGCAGCGTGGAGAACGTTGTGGCAGTGTGGGGAACGTTGGGGCAGCGTGGGGAACGTTGGGGCAGCGTGGGGAACGTTGGGGCAGCGTGGGGAACGTTGGGGCAGCGTGGGGAACGTTGGGGCAGCGTGGAGAACGTTGGGGCACCGTGGGGAACGTTGGGGCACCGTGGGGAACGTTGGGGCACCGTGGGGAACGTTGGGGCAGCGTGGGGAACGTTGGGGCACCGTGGGGAACGTTGGGGCACCGTGGGGAACGTTGGGGCACCGTGGGGAACGTTGGGGCAGCGTGGGAAACGTTGGGGCACCGTGGGAAACAGGTAATACTTGGGCCGGGTGCCAGATGGTGCCATGAATGTTTCCCAAGCAGTACACGCGCCAGAATGGAGATGACCCGCGCGCGACTTCCTGCACGCCGCGTGTGTGGAGGAAGTCGCGCGCGAATGACGCACCCACACACACACACGCACGCAATGACAGGCAGAAATGAACACACACACACACGCCGCTAGACAAACACTCATGCGACCACTTGAGACCACAAACTGCACTACCACAGCCATACTACCCCATGGGAGGCAGGTCCCAGATATTGACTGTCACACCAACTGCCTCTCTCTCCCACCTCCCGTTCCACGACTCCGTGGTGACCCTCACCCGTCACGGCAGCTCACGCCACTGGCGCCTTGTGGTACCGCAAGAGCGCTCAGGGGGCGACTGTGGGAGAGAGATCAGGAGTGAGAGGCGTCGGGGAAGGTCTAAGGAAGGGAGGAGGAACTAGGTACCTTCCTGGTCTGAGGAGGTCTTGCTCCGCGCGTCTCTCAGACCCTTCCACCTGGATCACCCTCCCTCTCAACCCTCCCCTATCTCTCCCTTCCCGCATCAATGTCCTCCCGGCACACGCAGGCAGGCAACAAGGCAGACACAGGCAGGCAACAAGGCAGACACAGGCAGGCAACAAGGCAGACACAGGCAGGCAACAAGGCAGACACAGGCAGGCAACAAGGCAGACACAGGCAGGCAACAAGGCAGACACAGGCAGGCAACAAGGCAGACACAGGCAGGCAACAAGGCAGACACAGGCAGGCAACAAGGCAGACACAGGCAGGCAACAAAGTAGACAACAAGGCAGACACAGGCAGGCAACAAGGCAGACACAGGCAGACAACAAGGCAGAACAGGCAGGCAGAGGCACAGGCAGGCAACAAGGCAGACACAGGCAGACACAAGGCAGACAGGCAGGCAACAAGGCAGACACAGGCAGACAACAAGGCAGACACAGGCAGGCAACAAAGTAGACAACAAGGCAGACACAGGCAGGCAACAAGGCAGGCAACAAGGCAGACAACAAGGCAGACACAGGCAGGCAACAAGGCAGGCAACAAGGCAGACACAGGCAGACAACAAGGCAGACACAGGCAGGCAACAAGGCAGACACAGGCAGGCAACAAGGCAGGCAACAAGGCAGACAACAAGGCAGACACAGGCAGGCAACAAGGCAGGCAACAAGGCAGACACAGGCAGGCAACAAGGCAGACACAGGCAGACAACAAGGCAGACACAGGCAGGCAACAAAGTAGACAACAAGGCAGACACAGGCAGGCAACAAGGCAGACACAGGCAGGCAACAAGGCAGACACAGGCAGACAACAAGGCAGACACAGGCAGGCAACAAAGTAGACAACAAGGCATACACAGGCAGACAACAAGGCAGACACAGGCAGACACAGGCAGGCAACAAGGCAGACACAGGCAGGCAACAAGGCAGACACAGGCAGACAACAAGGCAGACACAGGCAGGCAACAAGGCAGACACAGGCAGGCAACAAAGTAGACAACAAGGCAGACACAGGCAGGCAACAAGGCAGGCAACAAGGCAGACACAGGCAGGCAACAAGGCAGACACAGGCAGGCAACAAGGCAGACACAGGCAGGCAACAAGGCAGACACAGGCAGACAACAAGGCAGACACAGGCAGACAACTAGGCAGACACAGGCAGGCAGCAAGGCAGACACAGGCAGGCAACAAGGCAGACACAGGCAGACAACAAGGCAGACACAGGCAGGCAACAAAGTAGACAACAAGGCATACACAGGCAGACAACAAAGCAGACAACAAGGCAGACACAGGCAGGCAACAAAGTAGGCAACAAGACAGACACAGGCAGGCAACAAAGTAGGCAACAAGGCAGACACAGGCAGGCAACAAGGCAGACACAGGCAGACAACAAGGCAGACACAGGCAGGCAACAAGGCAGACACAGGCAGGCAACAAGGCAGACACAGGCAGACAACAAGGCAGACACAGGCAGGCAACAAAGTAGACAACAAGGCATACACAGGCAGACAACAAGGCAGACACAGGCAGACAACAAGGCAGACACAGGCAGGCAACAAGGCAGACACAGGCAGGCAACAAGGCAGACACAGGCAGACAACAAGGCAGACACAGGCAGGCAACAAGGCAGACACAGGCAGGCAACAAGGCAGACAACAAAGCAGACAACAAGGCAGACACAGGCAGGCAACAAAGTAGGCAACAAGGCAGACACAGGCAGGCAACAAGGCAGACAACAAGGCAGACACAGGCAGACAACAAAGCAGGCAACAAGGCCGACACAGGCAGGCAGCAAGGCAGACACATTCAGACAACAAAGTAGGCAACAAGGCAGACACAAGCAGACAACAAAGCAGGCAACAAGGCAGACACAAGCAGACAACAAAGCAGGCAACAAAGCAGACAACAAAGCAGACAACAAAGCAGGCAACAAAGCAGACAACAAAGTAGGCAACAAGGCAGACAACAAAGCAGGCAACAAGGCAGACACAAGCAGACAACAAAGCAGGCAACAAGGCAGACAAGCAGACAACAAAGCAGGCAACAAGGCAGACACAAGCAGACAACAAAGCAGACAACAAAGCAGGCAACAAGGCAGACACAAGCAGACAACAAAGCAGACAACAAAGCAGACAACAAAGCAGGCAACAAAGCAGACACAAGCAGACAACAAAGCAGGCAATAAGGCAGACAAGCAGACAACAAAGCAGGCAACAAGGCAGACACAAGCAGACAACAAAGCAGACAACAAAGCAGACAACAAAGCAGGCAACAAGGCAGACACAAGCAGACAACAAAGCAGACAACAAAGCAGGCAACAAGGCAGACACAAGCAGACAACAAAGCAGGCAACAAGGCAGACAAGCAGACAACAAAGCAGGCAACAAGGCAGACACAAGCAGACAACAAAGCAGACAACAAAGCAGACAACAAGGCAGACACAAGCAGACAACAAAGCAGGCAACAAGGCAGACAAGCAGACAACAAAGCAGGCAACAAGGCAGACACAAGCAGACAACAAAGCAGACAACAAAGCAGGCAACAAGGCAGACACACAAGCCACCAAGCTCGGACGTAACACGTAATAGCTCTATCCCGCACCTAAGGGAATAACCCAATGGGCTCATCGAGAAGCAAGCAAGCAAACACGCAAGCAAGCAAACACGCAAGCAAGCAAACAAACACGCAAGCAGCAAGCAAGCAAACACGCAAGCAGCAAGCAAGCAAACACGCAAGCAAGCAAACAAACACGCAAGCAAACAAACACGCAAGCAAGCAAACACGCAAGCAGCAAGCAAGCAAACACGCAAGCAAACAAACAAGCAGCAAGCAAGCAAACACGCAAGCAAGCAAACAAACACGCAAGCAAACAAACACGCAAGCAAACAAACACGCAAGCAAGCAAACACGCAAGCAAACAAACACGCAAGCAAGCAAACACGCAAGCAAGCAAGCAAGCAAGCAAACAAACACGCAAGCAAACAAGCACGCAAGCAGCAAGCAAGCAAACACGCAAGCAAACAAACACGCAAGCAAGCAAACACGCAAGCAAGCAAACAAACACGCAAGCAAACAAACACGCAAGCAGCAAGCAAGCAAACACGCAAGCAAACAAACACGCAAGCAAGCAAACACGCAAGCAAGCAAACACGCAAGCAAACAAACACGCAAGCAAGCAAACACGCAAGCAAGCAAGCAAGCAAACAAACACGCAAGCAAACAAGCACGCAAGCAGCAAGCAAGCAAACACGCAAGCAAACAAACACGCAAGCAAGCAAACACGCAAGCAAACAAACACGCAAGCAGCAAGCAAGCAAACACGCAAGCAAACAAACACGCAAGCAAGCAAACAAACACGCAAGCAAGCAAACAAACACGCAAGCAAGCAAGCAAACACGCAAGCAAGCAAACAAACACGCAAGCAAACAAACACGCAAGCAGCAAGCAAGCAAACACGCAAGCAAACAAACAAGCAGCAAGCAAGCAAACACGCAAGCAGCAAGCAAGCAAACAAACAAACAAGCAGCAAGCAAGCAAACAGGCAAGCAAGCAAACAGGCAAGCAAGCAGCCAGCCAGCCAGCCAGCAGCAAGCAGCCAGCAGCTTTACTCCGTGTACAGAGGCTTCAACACCACTACCGTGAGGTAGAGAAACCTGTCTGGGAGCTTGTGTCGCCCCCCCCCCCTCCAGCCGTCCTCTCCCTACCCCGCCTGTACTGTGCCTCCTCCCCCCCCCCCTACCTTCACACTGCCTGATCAACCAACCTCTTGGTTCTTGCACTCCGCCATGTCTCATGCCACGCTCAGGCTTTACAACCTTTCCCAAGAAACACTTTCAAACTCTTGTTCCGTTTGACGTAACTTCTGCTTGATACCTGGATGATGGGGTTCTGGGAGTTGTTCTACTCCCCAAGCCCGGCCCGAGGCCAGGCTTGAGTTGTGAGAGTTTGGTCCACCAGGCTGTTGGTTGATACCTGGTTGATGGGGTTCTGGGAGTTCTTCTACTCCCCAAGCCCGGCCCGAGGCCAGGCTTGACTTGTGAGAGTTTGGTCCACCAGGCTGTTGGTTGATACCTGGTTGATGGGGTTCTGGGAGTTGTTCTACTCCCCAAGCCCGGCCCGAGGCCAGGCTCGACTTGTGAGAGTTTGGTCCACCAGGCTGTTGGTTGATACCTGGATGATGGGGTTCTGGGAGTTGTTCTACTCCCCAAGCCCGGCCCGAGGCCAGGCTTGACTTGTGAGAGTTTGGTCCACCAGGCTGTTGGTTGATACCTGGTTGATGGGGTTCTGGGAGTTGTTCTACTCCCCAAGCCCGGCCCGAGGCCAGGCTTGACTTGTGAGAGTTTGGTCCACCAGGCTGTTGGTTGATACCTGGTTGATGGGGTTCTGGGAGTTGTTCTACTCCCCAAGCCCGGCCCGAGGCCAGGCTTGACTTGTGAGAGTTTGGTCCACCAGGCTGTTGGTTGATACCTGGTTGATGGGGTTCTGGGAGTTGTTCTACTCCCCAAGCCCGGCCCG